CCCCCCCACCCCTTTCTCTGTTTTCTTATGAGGGAAAAGTTCTACATCTTTTCCTTTTGTAAGTTCTAACCTCACCCCCACTCTTACTTCCTACACCCTCTCTTCCCCCTCCCTCATTCCCTGCTCCTTTCTCCCCTTCTTTCTCCTCCACTAAACCATTATCCCCTTCTCCTCCTCTGTCCCTTCCCAGCTCTTCCTTGTCTCTTGTTTCCTTTGCCCCTACAAACCCAATCACCTCATCTCCTTGACAGCTTTCCCCCTCTTCTTCAACTCTAACTTCATCTCTTTCCTGCACAGTCCTAATCACCTCTCCACTATTCTCTTCTTCCATCGCCACTTTTTGCTCTAGAAAGTGTAGTGATGCGACAAATTGAGGAAATTAAGATGCAAAATGTCAAAGTATTAATAGAACTATAAGATACTAACATTCAAGATGTATTGGTCTATGCTAATAGTAAGACTAATTTGAAGCTTCTAACTCTAAGCCAGCTGAAAACATGAAGGATGAATCGGATATTCCAGTTGGCATTTCAGATCCAAGGTTTGTGCTGGGGAACACATTGAAGAATTATCAAAAGACAGGCAGACCCTTCAGTCAAGATGGTTATGGAAGGCAATTGTTCAAATAGACACACTTTTTTCTTTTCTTGATAGATCAAATAGACACACTTATCAACACTAATAGTTCAAACAGATACTACATGAAAATCCTTTCTTGGTTATGTACAAGAAGTCTATCCTACAACCCATGTTTTTTGAAGCCACTTAAGAAATTTTCATAACTAGGGTTTGTTCTACCATAGGACCTAACCAAACTTTCATCTTCAATTTCTTTAAAACCCAAGGACAAGTTTTTTTAACTAGGGGAGAATGATGCAAGAACCAATGAGTCACACATAGGTTTTCTTATTTCATATTTATTTATGGATTGTAGAGTTATTGCTGTTTTTAAGAGCCCAAAATTTACTCTAGGTGTTGGGGAAGAGAGGTATTGATGTTACTTTCAGTAGCCATCTTCTGATTGTTTGAGTCATTAGTAGTTTATCTAGTTAGATTAGAAGTTCTGCATTCCTAATTACATTAGGAATTGGTGTTCCTAATTAGATAAGTAGTCATACTAGCATGCCAGAGTCATTTTAGTAGGTTAGAGTCATGGTCCTAAGTCAAGTAGGATTTTTCTTATTTCTAGTTTTAAGTTATCTAAAACTTCTCTTATTTGAGTCCTAATTTAACTGGGATTCATCCAATTTCTAGCATTGCTTAGTTTGTTCCAGAGTAGGAAAACAAGCAAAAGTTGCTGGCCAACCTTCTCCACTTTGCCTATAAATATATTTTGACATCAAATAATAAATTTTGAGCTTTCTACTTCTAACACTTAAGTGATCTAATTTTCTCAATGGTGCTGATTCCTTCAAGAAGCTCTTTGGTGCTGACTCCAAATAGTTCTTCTAGCTGTTAGTTCCTGGACAAGTTCAGGTGCTAATTCGGTAATTCCTAGGTTATTTTTATCTTCTTTCTCTTTTTTCAGGTCCATACCACATCAACTATGATGAATAGAAAAACAGTCTAACTTCGTTAATCTGCAAGTATAGCTCAAAGAACTTCTTTTCCTGTTTTATTTTGCTCTCTGCAAACTTAGTCTGAAAAGAAAATGAACCAGTATACAAGGACCTTAGCATAATTCATAAGGGTACACAAAAAGTGATTCATGGAAAGAGACTAAAACTACAACTTTTAATCATCAGAAACATATACCTCCCAACGATTTTGTACAACTGCCTCCTGTTTCTTTTTCGAGCTCAACAGTCCTGATGGTCTTAAACTGAAAGGTACAGCACAACAAACAAAATATATGAAAATCAGAAATGAATAAAGAAGAGTCTAAGTATTTCATGGAGCAATATATAATTTGGCTCACATATTTCAGTACTTTAACATCCAAGTACTTCAAAACCAAACAATTAATATGAAGGTCAAAGGATAGACCAACATTCTGCATGACTTGTAACTCTAGTTTAACAGTGTAGCTTAACTGATTTAGATTTCAAATGAATAAACAATTGAAATTTTAACAGAAAAATGAAAAGACATTAAAGGGAAAGAATAAAATCAGGATAAGTTCAGATCAGTCTTTCATTTGTTGAAAATTTAAAAGAAGCATAAAAAGACTTGCATCTTGAGATGTATCTGAATTGTGAACTATAACTGAAATCATCAGAAGTGAGGTTCAAGATTAAAATAATTAACAGATGATAAAAAGAGTATCCATAACATGTAATTATGAAAAGCTAAAGCATCTTACACTAATTTCTCTGGAATGTTCTTGGGCGAGAAAATTGGAGGTACCAGCATCATCAAATCCTCTAGATCAATGTCTATAAGACCACCCTTCTCTGTAAGATGGTATAAGAAAGAAGACAAAATAGAAGTTATTAATAAAACATCAAGTAAAATTAGTCTATGTTCCGAATTTTAAACCAAATACAGTATAAACTTCACCAAAGCGTGGTTCCACTTCTACCCAGCGTCTCTTCCTTCTGGCTACATCACCATGAACAGCAAGAACATGTTGGTAGTCTACCATTCCTTCAATAAGAAACCAGAACAACTCAGTTCTAGAAAACACAAAGGAGAAGGGAAAAAACAACATTTCTAGAAAGAAAGAGGTACAATAAGTACAAATATTTCCGCCCTAACCATTAAATTGATAAGCTTCAGAAACCCGAGCAACAATATCCACATATAGATTTATCAACATTTTTTTATGCATCTGGACTTCTTTATCTTTATTAGAAGATGTCGATTCAATTTCAGGTAGATTCCTTTCTTCCACTTCTTTGGATTCACTATCACATGGAACTGGGACTGAACTAGTTGCATCTTTTGACAAACATTTAGACATGATACTGGAAGCTACAGCATTTTGGTCAGCAGAAAATTTCTTTTTTGATATTTTAAGAAGAAAACCACTACAGCGGTGAAGCTCCCCAAATGCAGGGTGTGAGTATGGGTCTTCAGGGCGGAAACGAAGTTCCAAGCAGTTTGATTGTGAACTGCGCACCTGCAATAGTGACAGGCACAGATTAGGAGAAAAAAAAAACTGAAGACTTCATATTTCTTTTCTTTCCAATAATAAAGAACCATTTTCCTCTATTTGTATCAGTAACTTGCCCTTTAACCATTTAAAAACAATGAACAAGTTAAGCACATCTACAATTAAAACAAAACCAGCATGAATTCTAATCTCTAAGTAGCACAAGACTTAAGCAACTTAGTAAAATTCTTCTGTTTCACAATTTATTTGCTATACCAACTTCCCAATTTTTGGCAGCAATTTGGTGATCATAATAAACAATAATAGCATAAACAGCAAAGACTTCACATAAAACTTCGGGGATAGTTCAAGGAGGAAATAAAGGTAACTGCAACTTTAAAATTGCGATACAAAAAAAAAAAAAAAAAACCATGTATGCAAAATGCTGAATGGTCAAAAACACTTTAGACCATCGGATAGAAAAAAAAAATGCTTCAGAATAGACTTAGGATTGGCTACAAGCAGATTTCTCAGTCAAATTACTTGCTAAAATATAAACCATGAACGATAATACCCTAATGGGGCTTCTAAGCTGCGGGGTAGCTCATGTTCTAAGAAAAACGTGAGCAGTGAATTCCATCATCGAATCAGATCAAGGAAAAACCCCAAAAAATAAAGACTCAAAAGATAAATTTTCTTATTATGAGTTAATACTTTGGTGATTGCTTCGGGTCCGCCAAGAGTCTCAACGGCACGGGAGGTAGACGAAGGGTAGCCTGGATAATGCACGGCAAAAACCTTGGCTTCTGGCAGAGTCCCTGAAATAGTCCCATCTTTTATGGCTCCCATGTTCGCTCTTCTTCTCGCTGCTGCTGCTATAAGGTCGAAGACTGTTTTATTGGAGCCTAAATATACTGCACTTAGTACGCTGATTTCGAGGCTGTTCAACAAATAAGAACAGCCCACATCTGTTCATCACTTGTAAACGAGCTAATTCTGTATTCTACCTTAACAATTGTCAATTGTTCTGACGCTTTTGCTTTTAAAACTATAAATCTCCATATGAGTTCTTCGAATTAGCTCATTTTTTCATCTGCGTCTTCTTTTGAACCCGCCAAAATTCATTTGATTCAGTCCTCACGGGAGTCAACCTGTATCACACTCTCACGGCTGTTGTGCCTCTATATGTATCTATGATTCTTTTTTTGCAGTCCGGTGAAATAGTGGAAGATACTCGGCCTTGATCATTGTTCTGGTATCAACCGCTTAGGTGTTCTCCTTGCCATTCCTCTGCTTTCTTTTCGCTCAATCTCTACTAACAACCCATGCAGATGCAGCATAAACTTACGATTCATAGCTACTGATACTGTCTTATCTATCCTTGCAATCTGGTCCAGAATCAGCTGGATAGGCTCGCTTGAATGGTCGATAACACACTTTCTCCCTCTCTACTCCCCCGCATTCCCGCAACGTTCCTGTAATAAGGGATGCCTTTCTTTACGATGTACTCTTTCTGAAGTTCAAAAACCCTGTTTATAAGGGGAGGTTCTAGTCTAAGTTGAAAAGATAGGGGAGGTTTTAGTATTTAAAAAAAATGTCAAGGGAGGTTTTAAGTCTTTTACCTAAGGGTGTCAATGGACTGATTTTGTAAAAAATGTCAATTTGAAGGATTGGATGGACGAACAAGACATATTAGATTGGATTGGACCTGGTCGTAAGTAACAAATTTATATTGGATTGAGTTGGACTAAGGAAATATCTGATCCATTGATATAAGATAAAATACTGATACCAATCTAAATCAAAATGAATTTGAACAGATTAGATGGTCCAAACATTGAATTAGACCGGTTTAAATTGGTCTAAAACATTCATTGGATTGGATTAGACCTGGTCCATTTATAATGGACTCACATTGGACTGGATCGGATTGGACCAAATCCAGTCCAATTGACACCCCTACTTTTACCCATATAAATATATATTATAATTTATAATGACTTGAACCTCCTTGGACCTTTATGATAAATACTAGAACCTTTTCTCTCTTTTCAAAATGTAACAAGGCCTCCCCTATCGGCTGACGTCATCAAACAAAGACCTCCTTTATGTTACCAATTGCATATACGTTCTTACTAAAAAATTGCATGTGACCTCACATATGGCTATTTTTTTTTCAGAAACCCAATAATACACTATGATAGTCATTTACAATTTTAAAAGACAAAGGAGAGATATTCAATTCCTAACAAAGACAAGGGAAGAAGAGAGTAGGAAGACATAGTGTCAACAATGTCAAAGACTACAAGTGGGAAGCATCAAAAAACTTGTAGAATTAGATCATACATTTGGGAAGAAGGTTGTAGAAGAGGAAATCGGTGGTGACATGGGAACCAAGAACTAAAGGTTTAGAATGTCAAAAGCCTTAGCAATGATGACTTAATTCCCATTGACAACTACAAGATTGGCTTCATTGGAGCTGGAAAAATGGCAGAAAGAATCGCTAGAGGAGTGACTAGAGCAGGTATCTTGTCCTACTTCAAGGACTTGAACTGCTTGCAAGGATGTTGATTACAACAAAGGTTTCACCACTTTTGGCATCATAGTTTTCAATCACAAATGGGAGGTAGCTAAAGACAATGATGTGGTGATTTTCTCTACATACCTCAAATTGTTAAAATCTGGCTTTAGAGTTAAAGCCACTGCTTCCAAAGAAGAAAATTTTTGTATCTATTCTACAGGAATAAAATTAATTGATTTTCAAGATTGGTTGGCCACATGCTCACAACCCAATTACAAGGGTGATGCCAAACATTCCCGTTGTAGTTGGTTAAGTAGCAATAATAATGTGCTTGTGAGTAGCTACTAAAAAAATAAGATGGTGAACTCATAGTTAGTTTGTTTGGAGCAATTGGAAACACATGGAGAGCTAATGAGAAATTATTTGATGTAGTTACTGGTTTGAGTGGTACTGGTCCTTGCAATAAATATTTGGTTGTTAGAGAAGTAGCTGTGGGTTTACCACGAGATCTTGCATTGGACCTAGCTTCTCAAACAGTTCTGAGAGAAGCATATATGACCAATAACATAGGGAAGCATCCAAGTCAATTGATTGATGATGTTGCATCACCTGGAGGAACTGCAATTAATGGGATGCATGAGTTAGAAAAGAGTGTTTTTTGTGGTGTCCTAATGAATGTTGTTGTTGCTTCTACCAACGTAGCCGAGAAATATCTTAGAGTTAGGTGGTGTTGGATAATGCTTTTCAATGATCTGGTGTCTGAAAAATTTGCTTTTTTAGAGCTAGACTCATTTGGTGTTGCGTATGAAGATTGGTCTGAAATGTGTTTTCAAATCTGAAACCAGAAGCTTGTGGCCTGGCTCTTAACACACTCAAAACACATTTCAGAAGGTTGAAAATACCCCCAATAATTTTGAAATGATGCAATTTGCCCCTGTTTAACTCCAAACCTAAAAACCTAAGCTCATTTGTGTTTCCTCTCTTGAACGAGAAAGATGATCGCGTCTATAAATTGCTCTAGGTATGTTCACGACCTCAACTCTTTATTTTCTTTCCATTTTGCTTCTTCATTGTTACACATCTAATCTCTCACGTTGCTTCTTACTGCATTCTTCATTTTTTAGGGGATAAAGTAGCATCTTTATGCCAGACGCCTAGCCAATAGTGAACAAGCGGCAAAGGTATGCGTTTCTTCTTCTTCTTCTTCAAATGATACTTCAATATATATATATATATATATATATATATATATATATAGAGAGAGAGAGAGAGAGAGAGAGAGAGAGAGAGAGAGAGATTTTTCTCTTCCCGTACCTTATATCATAGGAAACCCAGTTCAGATTTTTGAGATAGACAGAGAAAAACACTGATCACCTTGTCATCATAAACTGAATTGGGAGAGACAAAGGTAGTCATATTTTGATTTGTTTACAGTTGTTTGATTTGTTTAAGATATACAAAGCTGCATTTTGATTTGTTTATCATAGTTGTTTGATGTGTTTGAGATAGACAAAGCTGCATTTTGGTTTTATAGTTGCTATTTATTGGGAAATTTTTTCTTCTTAATAAATGCTGGACCTCTTCGTCTCCTTGTTATTTACTTCATCAAACTTGTTTTAGGTTGGATTTTTGCAAGTTTTCCCAATTCCCAAGCAATGCACTAGGTACTTGGAGAAGAAGTTGAGCTTTCTTTTTAAGTCTTAACAATATAGGTTCTATTGAAATTTGCACTAATGCAAATGTATGAGAGTGCAAATGGATTTGGGGAAAATTCTTGCTTATTTTTGTTTAAGGTGTTATTTGATTTTAGTTGTCTTTTCCTTTTTGTATCTGAAAAAAAGATGGGTTAATGGACCATGATATCAAATTTGGAAATACAAATATTTTTAAACCATAAATTCAAGAACAATTTTTTTATATTAGTTTAAAACGTTTTCTTTTTTGTGTCTCTTCGAACAGGTGCACTACTCTGAAGAGTGTTGGCCGACCTATTCTACACACACCATTTTTTTAGACATTCTTGTTTTTTTTGAGAAATCTAAGCATCAATCTTTTGTGGTTCGTGGAGGTTTGGTAAGTGAGTGCACACCTACCAGTGGCCTGTGGGCTGTTTTATCTTGACGACCAGTTTGCGATCACCCGGCTGCACCATAGGGGCAAATACGGTTTTAAGGAGAGTGACCAAGTGGCACGACTCAACCCTCCATCTTCTTGCAATTCTCAGTTTTGAGTTCCTGCAACAACTTCACACCACTACAACTTTGGTTTGGAAAGTGATTACCGATAAGTTCATTTTGCTCTCTTTACTACTTATTACAACACTGTATGAGTTTAATGGTCACCTCATCGTCAATGATGTGAACATCAACTTCAATATCTTTGGATTTCCTCTAGAGCCATGAGCTCTTCAGTGTGCTCCCTATCAGTGAGTGTACCATGTTGCTTCATCGATGAGCCCTCCATATCTCCTACTGCTTCATCATCAGTCTTGAGCTTCTTTCTCCCTCCTCTCCCCCCATCTCTTCTTTTCGACTAATATCTTGAGTTCATCAACTATTCTTAGTATCTCCTTGATGTAGTCAATTGCATCTCCCACTATGGAGGCCCTATCAGCCTTGGATACAGGAGACAAATTAATTGAACAAACAAAGATCCAAATTAAAGAAATCATGAATAAAAAAACCTCAAGTTGAGTAGTCACTACCTTTGTAGGATTCGGAAATAGAAGCCTCAAAGCCTTAAATTTCTCATTCAATTGTTCTCTCCTTTGTTTCTTAGAAAGGATCTAACACAATTTTAGGAGATGATCTCGAAAGCTACTGCTGTACTTATCTTGTAGTCGTTGGGTCATCTGCAATACAAATGCAGTTAAATCAATTAATTGCATTTGTGTTTTGTAGCTTGATGTTAATATTTTAGGTTCAAGTCTTGTAATATGTATTTTGTAGCTTGATGGTTGTCATATCCATTTATCTTATTCCTTATTTTTTTAACCAAATGAAAAACATATCAGATGCTAGCCAAATGGTGGTGAAGCTAGCTATTTCAAGTTATTTACTGCTTTGAGTTTTTTTCTTAGTGATAAATCTAATTGTTTGACAGTTTACAAAGAGGTGTTTGACAAATGAAAATGATTGGTTTTGTGCAATGATGTTTATAGGGACTTAGGAATGGCTTCGGGGGATAATTATGATAAAGCCTATTGGAAGGACCCAACATTACATAAGCTATTGTTGGACCTATGTATTGATGAAGTGACTACCCATGGAAGGCAAGAGGGATCATTGATGAAAGAATTTTAGACACGGATTCAAAACAAGTCAAACGAAAAGAACTAAAAGAATTTTTCATAAAAGCAACTAAAGAATGGGTTCGATTATTTGAAGAGAAAATATCAACTATGGGTGACACTTATCAATAGGATGGGAAATGGATACAACCCAACCACTGGTACAGTGGACTGGACAAACAGTGGAAGTATTTCTTAAAGGTGTTGATAGGTAATATATTTGTGTGTAGGATCTAATAGGATGGTTTGTTTGTTTATATGGTAACATGCCTACCCAAATGTAAAAGTATTTAGGCATGCATGGTTGTAGTTTTCTGATGAGTGTAGAGCATTGTTTGATGGGGCATGTTTAACTAGAGAAATTGGCTAGACTCCGTTGGCAAATAGGTCGAGACCATTGGCCTCTACCGGTGTAACAACTGGTTCACCATTTACTAAATTTAAGGGTGAGACACTAGAGGGTGGTCCCATTGATCTTGATGACATGCCTGTCACACCTCCTACAAGRCCCTAAACTCAAACACAACAAACATTTGAAGAGTTTACAAGTCCAAGTGAATGACCCTCTAAGAGGCAAAAGAGGGGCACTAGTGAGATTGATATTAAGATGGAGAACCTTCTTGACATTCTGATTGTTGAGGATGGAGGACCAACTATAGAAGAATGTATGCAGAAACTCC